GGACCTCATCAGTACCACCTTCCTCTAACGTCAGGATCATGTGATCCTTGGCCTTTACTTGGCCTGAGATAGTACGATTCTTCCACTTCTTCCCCTTCTCCAGGTCCTTATGCCAGAAAGTGGTAACTGGCATAGACTTTGACTCATACAGGACGACCTCCCTACTCAATTGATCATATGTGATGTCGGCCTGCTGAGACTTGTCAAAGAAATGTCCGCGTAGGGCCTCTGGGATGGCACAATAAAACAACTTGACCAACTGGGGCTCGGTGACCCGGTGGTCAGGGACGGCTACCAAGTCGTCCATAGTACTCTTGAGTGCCTTAGCATTCCTCCATTGCCGCGAGTGGATCGTTTGGAGCTTATCAGAGGCTCTAATGCCTCGCGTTGGGTCAACGAACCGCTCCTTGAGGAGCTTGAGGAATTGAGAAAGAGGAGTGACTTTGGAAAACGCAACCAGGTTGTTTTCACAACCGGCTGTACGTGCGAGAGACCTGGCGAAGCTAGCCGCTTCATCCTTCAGGGCCTTGAAGGCCACGAGGACTTGCTCCTCTGTTAGGATATGCTGCAAGTAAATATAACTGTTGACACTGGCTTCCCAGTTGTCAAAGTTTTCTTCCTTCTTCCCCCCGTACGCATCTCGGAACTTGAGTTTCACTGGGTCCTTACGGGGTCTGGCCTCTCCCTCTACAGAGGCTACAGCTTTGGCACCCTGAATGGCGCCCTCACAAAACTTCCCTACATTATCTCTCAATCGCTTCACTTCGCCCCCAATATGGGTGACGAACTCGCACGCAAAATCTCTAAACCCTGACCGCATGGCACTCAACGCTACATCCTGGCTCCAGCTTGCCTGGCGCTCCTCCATCCAGGCCTTGCTCAACACCTCTAAATAGCCCAGTACTTTGTCCCACTTGGCCTTGTCATCCGGCAGGGCCAGCACCTCCTGTCTGCACGCCTGCACCTTTGCCACCTCTGCGGTCATCTTGTTCACTTCCTCTCTCCTCTTTTTCTTCTATCTCTTCATCCTCAGCTTCCATGCTAACTTTTGTTCCTCCTCCCTCTCTCTTCGTTCCATCGGGTCTGTCATGGCTGCTAGCTCAGCGRCCAACGCAGCTTTCTCATCCTTAGTCACATAGGATTCCGCCTCCTCGTCTTCTCCCAACGATAAATTAGCGACCCACTCGCTGATCCTCTTCTCCAACCCTGTATCTGTGTCCCTCGTCATCGTGCCACCACTACTCCCTTCTCCACTCTCAATCCTCATCCTCTCTTTCTCTTCTTCTGCTGCCGCTTGTTCGTCAGCGATAGCCTTTAGCTTCGCTTGCTTTTCACGCTCTTTCCTCTCCTTACTCTCTCTAACTAAGGCGGCCATCTTTTCTTGCTGCTCAGTGGTGTAGGGGCTAGTCTCCTTCCCACTACGGGT